GTGGCGACCCCCTGGGAGGGGCTCTCGCTCGAGAATGCTTCGCCATTCGTTCAGAGACGAGCGAGCGCCCGAGACGTGTTCTCAATTTGCTCCGGAGCGAGGTTTCCGTTTCAGATTTCCTGGGGGTTCAAAGCTCCCAGGTGTCACCAACGATTTTTGTTCACAGGGTGTTCCGATGGCCGCCTCGGATTGTGGAGACCCCGCAGGGAGCGGCTCCCGCTCGAGACATTCTCGCGATTCACTTACTTACGAGTCTCCCGCTCGAGACATACATTGTCAATGTCAATATTCAGGTGTGATTGTGTGAGCGAGCTTGCGTGCGTGAGCGAGTGTATGCCATGATGATAACGATGACGATGATGATGATGCTGATGATTGTGATCATGCTGCTGATGATGCTGATGTTGATGCTGATGCTGATGCTGATGCTGATGCTGCTGATGATGTTAATTCTGCTGCTAATGATGATGATGGTGATGATGATGCTGATATTGATCATGATCAGGGTCATGGTCCTAATAATGATTCGGATGATGTTGCTTATGATGTTGATGTGGATGCCGATGTTGATGTTAATGACGATGACGATGGCGATGGCAATGACGTTGATGATGACGATGACGATGACGGTGATGATTCTGATCATGTTGATGTTGGTGGTGGTGGTGGTGATGGCGATGGTGATGGTGATGGTGCTGGTGATGATGGTGATGATGATGGTGCTGCTGCTGCTGATGATGATGATGATAATGATATTGCCGATGGTGACGATGATGATGGTGATGACGTTGACGATCTTTGTCCTGCGCGGCGATGTCCAGATATAAACGAAGACCTCTTTTTGGATGTGGGGAAAACGCTCTCCTCTGGGAAGGCTTCTTGGGGGGTTCGGTAGGTTCGCGTCGCGTCGTCCGGCGGCGACCTTGTCGCTGGCGTTCATCGTTGAACGCCGCTGGCGGCCCAGAATCGATCGACGCTGACAATCTCACCCCTGGGAGGCGGCCGATCCTTCAAGGTGGAACGACCCCCGCGGTGCCAGGGACAGGCGCCGAAGTCGGCACCGACACGAACCCGCCGTCCGCGGGCGTTGTCACCGGCGGCCTCGTGGAGGCATGTGGGAGGGTGCTCCGTGCTCGCCTCCTCCTCCTCCTCCTCCTCCTTCGCCTCCTCCTGTGCTCCGTGCTCGGCGGCGCACGGCGGGCGGATCCGCGGCGCGCGGCCCGCAGCCGTTCTTGCGGGCTCGAGGGCGCGGCGCCCGCCGGCGCGGCGCGGCGACCGCCGCGGCGCAGCACCTCCAAGGCGCCAGCGTGGACGCCGCCGAGCGGTCGCAGACCCCTTCGCTATGTGACAATGTGAGCAAAAACCGACGGGGTTTTCGCGACAGTGGGGAGACCCATGACAAGAAACACCAGGCTTGCCTCCGGGGTGCCCTGGGTTTCTCGGGTCTCGATGGGTTTGCTAAGGGGAACGTGAAGGTTCCCACACCAAAAATCCATGGACGTCCTTGGGTTTCTTGCGGAAGGTTTCTTCGGGAAGGTTTCTTGTGGACGGGCCTCCACTGTATTTCCGGCCTCTGGGGGCCAGATTCTTTATCGGAAACGGAGAGGGATTGGTGATATTGTTGGCGTTTTTGCTGGTTCATCATCTGTAGGGCTACAAAGCCTCGGCATTGAATCCTGAGTGGATTTCGGAAGTTCTCGGCGGAATATGCGAGCCGTATGTGCGCGAAAAAAGCAGCTTTGAATGTCGAAGCGAATTTGTAAGTTCGCGTTGCACCCAATGACATTTGGTGCGACGAACGCGCGCGTGACACACTGGTGTCGCCGAGCCGTTGGCCATGTTAATTTTAATGGGTCAGGTTAGCTTTGGCGCAGTGTCGACAGGGCCTGGGTCAGGTTAGGGTAGGGATTGACTACGTTAGGGTGGGGTCGTACCAGGCCCTGGGGACCGTCAAAAAATGACTCAGGATGAGAAACTGGTCCCAGGGAGGGGGTCCAGCTCTTCAAGGGTCGACGTTGTGCAAAAGTCACGGCGGTGTCTGGGTTGAGCGACGCCGATCAACGGGTCGACTGCGACACCATTGGCGCGTGAGCTGCCCGTGCAAGGCCACGCGTAAAAGCGCCCGCTTGGCCACGCAGTGTTCCAGGCTCGCGTCGGCCACCGCGTAAAGACCCTGTCGCTATGTCATCTCGCGTAAGTTGTGTTTTTTCGTTTTGCTCAGTTCCTCCTCCTCCTCCTCCTCCTCCTCCTCCTCCTCCTCCTCGTCCTCCTCCTCCTCCTTCTGCTACTCCTCCTCCTCCTCCTCCTCCTCCTCCTCCTCCTCCTCCTTCTCCTCCTCCTCCTTCCCCTCCCCCTACTGCTCCTCCCTCCTCCTCGTCCTCCTCCTCCTCCTCCTCCTCCTCCTCCTCCTCCTTGTCCTCCTCCTCCTCCTCCCCTCCTCCTCCTCCTCCTCCCTCCTCCTCCTCCTCCTCATCCTCCTTCTTCTTCCCCTCCTCCTCCTCCTCTTTCTCCCCGTCCTCCTCCTCTTCCCCCTCCTCCTTCTTGGGGCAGCGTCGGCTCTCCCGCCGGGCCCGCATCGGGTCGAAGTCACCACCCAGACCCCTCCCGAGGTGCGTCCGAGGGGGGGGGGGGGACGACGACGGGAGGGGGGGGGGGGCATCTTGGCCGGAGTCATGGCATCGCCCCAGGTTTCATGGCGCCCCCTTCTTCTTTCAGTGCGTCCCCTGGTCCTCCCCCGTGTTGGCGGCGCGCAGAAGGGGGTTAGGGGGAGGGTTGAAGGCTTCTGAGAAGGAGGCTGCTTTTTGGAAGGCGCCGGCCTCGCATCTAGAGAAAGGGCCCGCACCTTCTAAGAAGCAGAGGTGCTTCTCAGAAGCCTTCCCTCTCCCCCTACTTCCCTTTGCGCGCCGCCAGCCCGAGACATGCGACGTCCTGATTTTTTCAGGACGGCGTCCCTGAAAGTCCCGACCCCTTCCTCAGGGCTGGTTTTTCGTCCTGCGTCGTTTCTTGACGGTCCCGAGGCCCGGCGAGGGTCTCCCAGGGCCGAAAATGTCCAAACACCTGACACCCTGATTTTTTCCACGACGCGATCGTGCCTGGGCCCTGGTCCTTCCCCGTCTCAGCGCACATGCCTCGGGCCTTGCTATGCGAAGCCTTCTCCGGGGCGCGCCCCCGCGGACGCCCCCGGGCAGAAGAGAACCGCGTCGGTGGGTCGGCCGAGGCGCCGCGGAGCTCGGCGAAGGCGTCCGGCGTGTAGGCTGAAGTCGGGAGTGTCCTTCCACGGGAGGAAAATCCAGAAATAGCTTTAAAAATAGTCTGGGGACGACTTTCTTTGTACTTTCGACAGTGTTTGAATATTTTCGATTTTCTGAAACGTTCCACCCGAAGTCCGCCTGTAGGAGGATACGCCCGACCTACGTGTAGACGCTCCAGCGCTCCAAAGGTCGGGAAACTTAGGGGCGTCTAAGCGCTGAGCTCCTGGGCCGACCATACGACTTGGTCACAGACCCCCTCGCGCTGTGAACAAAAATCACGACGGGAGGTTTTCGCTGTTTCCCGCCTCCTGGAGCCCTTATTCTCAGAGGAGGAAAAACTACACATGCCTCTACCTTTCGCCCGTTTTCCCCTTTTTGGGCCTCCTCGGAGGCCCTCGTCGGATTCGCCTTCAAATCCTTGTAAGAACGCACCCCGGGAGAGGTCTGGGGACTAGCGATATCGGTACCTTCTAGTTTCCCCATATACTGGGCCCTCAGGACCGTCGAAAAGCAATTCTAGATGAGAAAACGATCCAGGGGAAGGGGTCCAGACCTCTGGGGGTCGACGTTGTCAGAACCACAAACATAAACGAGACGTCGTGGGTCTGGGAGATGTACTTCGAGCGCCTCTTAGTCTACACCTACTGGGCAGTCCTTCGACGCGGACGAAGCCGTGGAGACGAGTAGCCTGCAGGAGGCCAACCACGGACGAGACCCGCCAAGGAACCAGGCCCCCGACGTCATGCTTATATTTTTTGCAGCCTGGACCCTTGCGAGTTCTCGGCCCGTTCCCCGGGGCTGGCCTGTCCTCCCGATGCAGTTTTGGACGGTCCCGGGGACAGGCGAGGGTCCCTTGGGGCCGAAAATTGCACCGTCTGCCATTGCAGCCCCGGAGTCCGGAGGTCCCGACCCGTTCCCCGGGGCAAGTTTTTCGCTCTGGACCTGTTTTGATGTTCCGTGGGCCCGATAAGCTCTCTCCTTCCTCCTCCCCCGCCCCTCCTCCTCTCTGTCTACAGTGGAAGCCCATGCCAAGACGCACCCTGCTTGTCTGCAGGGTGCCTCGGGTTCTTTGGGTTTCGATGGTTTTGCTATGGGAAGCGTGACGTTTCCCACACCAGAGAATCAATGGACACCCTGGAGTCTCAGGGTTGGGTCTCTTGTGGAAGTAGCTCCTACCCCATATCTTGTGAACAGTGGGGCGGAAATGTCCGCCCTGCCCTCGAAATCGCCCGAAATGCGGCGGATCTGAAGTTCTAGGCCTTCCAGTTGGGGTCCGAGCAGATGTGGGTCGGAGGATCGCGCCGCATCGCTGGTGCATCGGCGGTGCGGCTCGATGCGGAGCCCACTGATCCTTGCCGCCTGTGGGCCCCACTCGCAAGGTCTCTCCTTATGCTGCTCCCATCGCACTTGAGGACCGCATCCCAGAAATAATTGCGAGCACCCAGAGGAAGGCATCGAAGCAGTGCCGAAACTCTTTCTGGTCGCCCAGGCTACAGTAGGCTGGAACATGATACAGCCGGGGCCCTGAAGAAGGAACCCTTTTCGTTGGGGAGGGGCTCCGCGTTCCCTAAGTGTTTCGCAGCTTGCCTCAGGTTCTCCTCATGTTTTCGATCGGAAGCCGAAGTTTCACTCATGGAACACAGGGGCCTCGTTCCTTATTTAGGGTTCCTTGGGGTCAACGCCCCGACTGTACGCCTCGCCGAGGTCCGGGCTCCCCCGTCGGCTCATGCCATGGCTGGCCTGGGGCAG